CTCCTTACAACTTGCCGACGGTGAGTATGTATATATCAATCAGCTTTAGATGCAACTAGCAAATATTTACAACGTTGTTTTTAATATACTATAGCAATTTGTCATGTATTACTCACTACTCATATGCTTCAAATGGTTGTCGAAGTCATTTGACAACTCACTTTAAATGACACACTCAGCAATATAAAAAAAATACTCAGCATATAGCATGTCATTATATTACATGTCGATTCATAGACAGGATAAGATTGTTTTCGATCATTATAAATAACTTCGCAAGAATTAGTGACACACTGGCTAGTTTGCTAAATATTTATTCCCGATACTTATTTGTATTAGTAATATTAAATATGAATATATTTTTCCAATGAGAGATACTGTGTATATAGTTATTGTTGTCTGTATAGATTCATTCACACTTCAAGCATATATAGCATACTTACATTATGCATGTATGAAGACACCTTATTAGTGAAACTATAGATTTCAAACTATAAAGTCATGCACAGTCATATTGGCTTGATTTTATTTCCACGTTTTTTTATTGACTACCATTCCAAGCCTTTGATTTTCGAGTGGCATAATAACCAAGAATAACCAGTATAATGGAACTCAACGTTTCCATTATTGACACTAGGAGTATATAGTCAAATATAAAACCTTCTAATTCATTGAGTATATTATTTTGTGTTTGTAACTGAAGTTTATTGCAGTCTAAATTGTGCGTCCATTGTATACAATGAATATAAAGGAAATGAGTGTTGTGCTAATCGATTTATACACTAATGCATAAACAAACAAAATACCGCTAAGAAAGACCAACTAATATAACAATATAACAAATAATATCCAAGAATGTTGCGTATACTCATCTTTGTTGTTGTTCCATCATATTACTTTGCAGTTCAACATTGAAAACGTACGTTTCCCTATTTATCTCAACCAAACATACTACTTTGCTACATTTCAGTGCAACTATATGTAAGCGTTGAATGGAATGAAAAGAATAACACGAGTTTAATTATATTTCAGGATTTGAAAGAATTAATGCAGAACTCTGGCGATGAGGGTGTCATAGTGGTAGCACTTGGGACATTTATAACCTTTCTTCCACACAAAACACTTGACATAATACTCTCGACACTTGCCCGATTTCCCCACGAAATAATATTCAGTTACAGTGGATCAACTCCTCGACATATTGGTGATAACATAAACATTGTTAAATGGTTCAACCAGAATGATGTTTTAGGTGAGCTATTTGTATATGTAATATTTATATGTGTTGTGTTTTTGAATCGAGACTATATAGTATCTTTAACGAAAGATTTGGTTATTTGAATATAACGTTGAATTCCAACAATTCATTTAGTGAGATAAGGAAATAATCAGTAGATCATATCCAAAGTAAGTACAATCACTTGATTTGAAACAATGAAAGAATTAGAACGAGCAGCTGACGCCTACACAGGCACAAGGCGGCGACGGTGCACCATATCATGTGAACAAGATTGCACAATATAAGTTGTGTTACAAATGTCATATATATGTAATTATGATCTGTATTTTAACCAGCTCATCGGAAAACGCGATTATTCATAACTCATGGCGGATTGAGCAGTTATCGTGAAGCTATGTATCATGGAGTTCCAATGGTATGCATACCACTAATGATAGATCAATTTGACACTGCTGGAAAAATTGTATCTAACGGGGTTGGCACATACGTCAAAATGAAGTCACTGAATAATGAGAACTTGTACGAAGCCATAGTGGAGGTGTTATCGAATGAGAAGTAAGTACTTGACCGTAAATATTCCATCGTATGTCATGTACAAATGCACTCGAATAGGATGTCAATTTATACAGTGGTATGGAATGAGCAAATCATTATGTGATGTGTTCATGACTTAATTTAATTTGTTTCAGGTACAGTAACAGAGCTAATCAGTTGTCAGCTGCTGTAAAAGATGTTCCGATGAATGCAACAGAAACCGCCGTTTTCTGGATTGAACACGTGACGAAATATGGTGCCAGTCATTTGACTGTTCATAGGAAGCACCTTTCTGTTATAGAGTATTACTTGCTTGATGTTATTGCAGTGATAGTTACAATCATGTGTGTTGCAGGCTGGTCATTACGCTGGTTCGTGACCGTGTTATTGCGTGGTATACGGCGTTAGTCAACTGAAATGACAAAACAATTTATAATTTTTTGTCATAAATATTACAATCAATTATAATATTGAAAACATAAATAGGTGGGATGAAGGTATATATGGGAGTGGAAAAGTAATTTAAATAAAGGGAATAATAATTTATCTGGGAATTTGACGAATTTTACATTATTCCAAAATTGTTAAATCCTATTTTTTCTGTTTACGTGCTTTATTCAATTATTTATTTAACACTATAACAATTTTAAAAACTTAAATCACAACATGAGTGTAAAGGCAGACAACTAACGCGGAGTTTGTAACGCGTATTCAATTATTCCA